ACTACCACATGGATACTCACGGTAAGTAGGTCCCATTTTTCTCTTGTCAAACAATGTTTAAAGGTTATATCTTAACTTCGTCATACACACTGAGTGGGTCATTGAAGCAATGATTTAAAAAAAAATTACTCAGGCACATCGGATAAAAAAAACAACAACTTATGTCTAATCCATCATTATTTGGTCAATTATGAAAGGAATTTAAAGAAATCACGTATAAAATATTTGATTAAATCCTGTTCATTAAGAGGCAACACTATTACTGCCGTTATTAAAACCGGTTCAATAAGAACCAACACAACAGTTGTTAGCATTACCCAAGTGCGGGCCATTATAGATATGATTTGATTTTTTTAAAAGGTATAAAACATTGATATTTTCCACCGTATTTCTTTTCAGGCTGGCCCGATATCGGCTACACATATGTCATCGGTGGAGACGGCTCAGTTTTTGAGGCGCGTGGATGGGATAAAGTTGGTGCACATACCCTGAACTACAACAGTGTGGGATACGGTGAGTCGAATAGGGGGAGCTGCGTCAGGATGGTGCACCTAGGCTTCAAATGGGTTTTTTCCATAGAGTCCCATATATTAGTGACAGCTTGCTGGATACCATCAACACACCTTGCTGGAGATCATGTCAGGGGACACCATCAACACATCTTGCTGGAGATTGTGTCCTGTGACACCATCTACACTTCTTGCTTTTACTTTCAGAATCAAAGTTTTTCAAGCTAGGATTGCCCGAGATAATAGCAACTGAAGAAAGAGAAATGTCACACTAAGAAATGGCGTCAGCGGGCCGTCGAGCTAATGCTCTTTATGCCTTCCCCAAAGCACCCCCTCTAAGCCCGGTATTGGGTCGCGAAGCGGTACGTTGGAGATGTCCCTTTGCCAGAACAGCCCCCACCCGAGTCCGCTCGATCGGGTTCCGCTGGGGGCCGCCCCAACCCAAAGACACCCGGTCGGTCGGACGCTGTGTTTGCACACATAATTTACGTCCTAATATCTTCCCCCTACCCTTCCCGGGGGAAGCGTGGGATGCCCTTTAAGAGAGCTTCTACAGTGGGTTTCCATTATTCGAAAACATTATTCGATTATGTTACGATCAAACAATCAATATTTGGTAACTCAGTTACACCATTTTTCTTTGTTTTTTAATGTCAGTAAAAACTACGTTCAACATTCTTTCAAGTTAAAAAGAAGGCACAAATGTCTTCAGAATCTCTAATATACTGCTCGCTAATTTAAAGAAAAAAGAAAAGAATATCCTAATTATTGATCATAATGAGTTGCCAAGATTGTAATTTTAAAATTACTAAATAACTTATCAATTGACACAATTATCAAATGACTAAAATAACATCGTTTCTCCCAGGGTTCTGCATGATTGGGACCTTCACGAGCCACATGCCGACGGCAGCAGCTCAGCAAGCGGTCAAAGATCTCATCGCGTGCGGCGTCCAGTTGGGCAAGATCCGCGCCGACTACACCCTGAGAGGCCACAGAGATATGCCAGGTAGCAGCACCGAGTGCCCGGGAACCATGCTTTGGAATGCCATCAAGAGCTGGCCACATTATTAAGACTTGACATGACGCTCAGATTTGTTTCATGTGATGTCCCGTTTACCATTTCCGTTGGTGAATGGTTTCTCAGTCGAATCAATTGTCTTTCATCGATAATAATAAAATAATAATAATAATAATATCAGTAATATCAGTGTTTGTAATTATTTTTAATTTTTTTTTTCATTAGTATATTTCTGTAATTGATTTTCATTTCAAGTATTCACTCAAGTATCCACTCAAAAATCAGAGGAAGATGGAGGACGTGCCTATTGAATCCACTTAAAAATCAGAGGAAGATGGAGGACGTGCCTATTGAATCCACTTAAAAATCAGAGGAAGATGGAGGACGTGCCTATTGATTTTCTATAATAAAAAAGGAGTAAAATCGTATCATTTACTGGTCAGAGATGGTCAATGGCACATGGAAAATAACACAGAGACTGCTTCATATTGCAGACAACACAGAAAGAATATGTGTCTTTGGGAATATACCGTCTAAAGTTATTTTGAGACCTCATTTGTTGTTTATTGTAAAATTACTTGTCCGCTATATCCATTAAGTGACGTCATGTTCAGAAATGCTAATGTACTCCATTTTGAGTAGCACATTGTGCTGTTCGGTGTCAAGGTTGCATTGCAACGTTTGAACAAATCACACATTCTGCTGTTCGATGTCAGGGTTGCATTGCAACGTTTGAACAAATCACACATTGTGCTGTTCGGTGTCAGGGTTGCATTGCAACGTTTGAACAAATCACACATTGTGCTGTTCGGTGTCAGGGTTGCATTGCAACGTTTGAACAAATCACACATTGTGCTGTTCGGTGTCAGGGTTGCATTGCAACGTTTGAACAAATCACACATTGTGCTGTTCGGTGTCAGGGTTGCATTGCAACGTTTGAACAAATCACACATTGTGCTGTTCGGTGTCAGATGTGATCTATTTATTAAAAAAAAAGATATTTGACAACATTAAATTATGACAAAACTAACCAAAATGAAGGAAAATGTTTTTATGTGTGTTTTTTTTTAAATTTAAAAAAGGAATTATTGGTATTCAAAAACATTAGCTGACATTGTAAAATTATCTTTAGATTAAATAACATTAGAAGTATTTTAATAAGTCAAGTGTGTAAGTGGGTATCTTCCGGGAATATTTTATTGGTAACCTGCGATGTAATCAATTATAGATTATTGATCTTTTATCCTCAAAATATGTTTAATTTAATTATCTAATTTTCCGATTTTTGTTTTGAAAATTAATAATAAATTAAATTGTCTTGCTGGTTAGTTCCTTTTCTTTTAGTCATGTGGGGTGATGGGAGGAGAAACTTTTGATATCTCATTTAATTTACGCTATGGTAAATCACAAAAACACATTTCACTATGTATGTATGTCTGTAATGATGTGTTCAATAGGCTTTGTCATTTCTCAGACAGGAAAACGTCATAGCGTACTATTTTTAGAAGGTCGGCGGACAAATATTGCTTCAAACATGGCAGCTAATTGCGTGTTTCAGCATATCGTTCGGACGATCCTTGTATCTAGAGTCACTGTTACATATGCCGTTCGCGCAATGGAGTCTCATTTCATAAAATAGAAGTAAAAAAACAAAATGTCTAAAATAGTTTGTAAAATAGAGTTGCAAACAAGTTTAAGGGACACTTGGCTAACATAGTAATACTGAACAGTGTTGACATTTTGTCCGCGCTGAGTACCCGGATGATGAGTAATGATGACATCAGTTCTATTAATAGATTTACGCCATTAAATGACAAGCCCTATAGACGAGCAAAATAAAATTCCCAGAAGTTGCCAGTAATTGCGTTCCTTATACTGTGCGTTCTTTGAATACGCGTTTTGTCAAGTAACTTGAGCAGATGGGATGTTCACAACACTCATGCCGCCGCCATTGGTTGGTGGGTTATTTCTAGTAAGGTTAGTATATCACTAAGCTGCGTTTTCTAAATGAACAGACAAAGAAATCATATTTTAAGATAAGACCTAATGTGTTTCATCAGTCATACTATTTTAAACAGATGTTCATTTCACTATTTTTAAGGTGCAAGTCCACGCACTGTGATCTTTTTCAAAGATAAGAAACAACACATTCTGCCCTTGTTGTACATGAACTCTCTAATCCATTGTTAAATGCACATTAATGAACTCTCTAATACATTGTTAAATGCACATTAATGAACTCCCTAATCCATTGTTAAATGCACATTAATAAACTCTCTAATCCATTGTTAAATGCACATTAATGAACTCTCTAATCCATTGTTAAATGCACATTAATGAACTCTCTAATCCATTGTTAAATGCACATTAATGAACTCTCTAATCCATTGTTAAATGCACATTAATGAACTCTCTAATCCATTGTTAAATGCACATTAATGAACTCTCTAATCCATTGTTAAATGCACATTAATGAACTCTCTAATCCATTGTTAAATGCACATTAATGAACTCTCTAATCCATTGTTAAATGCACATTAATGAACTCTCTAATCCATTGTTAAATGCACATTAATGAACTCTCTAATACATTGTTAAATGCACATTAATGAACTCTCTAATACATTGTTAAATGCACATTAATGAACCCCCGTAGAGAGAATTTCTCAACAAACGGCGTTGGTGTTTGGGGTAGAATTTTTTTTTTTTCTTTTTAAATCATTTATCTTAACCGCACATTGTTTCCACGCCCCTGAACTATAATACTATTCTAATGACCCACCCGCCTTCACAGCGCAGATCTATTTCACCAACTATTTCAGGAAAACAAAAGAATCTATATCGCACCAAACTTACTTGCGAATTTAAAAAAAAAAGAAAAGAATCTCATTTAGCGCAGTTATCGGGAATTTTTATTTCGAGAAATGCAGTGTCATCATTTTTTTCCTTCATCTTCCTTTGGAAAAACAGGAGAAACATATTTTTGGGGGCTGGAATTGACTGAAAATTTGATAGAATTTGTTGTCCTCGGCAACCAGTCTATGTGCCAAGTTTGAGCTCTATAGGTTGTCGAAATGTGGGTCAATTAGCCGTCCAAAGATTTTGCCAGCCAGCCACGAACAAAAGCGAAGTTAATATAAAGGATTTTAAAAGCTAATATTAAAATGATCTTTGGTTAGTGTACTATGAATGCGCTTCACGTGTTATGGAGCCTTCAATTGTTGAAAAAATTTGTGATCGTCACCAATGTTCCTTCTAAGGTTTGCTGGTTAGTGTGCAAAATCATGCAGTTGTATGCAAAGTTTACAGCATCATTTTTTTGTGTGCAAAATTTTACAGCCCACAAATACAAACACACGCTAACATGGAAATTTTCTGCGCGTATACTCAAAACTGCTGCGCGCCGTCTGTGAGATAGCCTGTTATCAGTTTCCATAGATATTTCCTAAATTCTAATACCCGGATCTGCCGGTATGGGTCTCTAATTACCCGAAGCCGGTACCCGGATAAAATAAAAACTTCACCAGTTTCAGCCCTTATCTCTACGGCATCAGTCGTTCACCCAACCCTTCACTTCAGTTGACTTACACAAGGGACATTTGCAGAGGTGGTTTAAGGGCTGTGAGGGACATTTAATTTGAAAAGACATTTGTCAGGAGATAGTTTGTTATAGTTTTAGATTATGAAACATTTAAAACAAAATTATTTGAAACGTTCCAGCCCGCTTTCCTATTAGCTCCCACTATTAACTTGGCTGATAAGTGGTGAACTGTAAAAGAGTTTTACAGTAGCGCCGCATGAAAAGATTGACTTGACGCGACAGACCTGTAATCTGTTGACACAAGCAGGCATATAAAAATGTTCCAAACTATTTTCTCCCTGTATGTTGGTTTATTTATCGTTGGCACTCAGACGCAGCTGACCTCTGGTGAGTAAACATTCACATCGCGATTCGTCCTATCTCTGGTGAGTAAACATTCACATCGCGATTCGTCCTATCTCTGGTGAGTAAATATTCACATCGCGATTCGTCCTATCTCTGGTGAGTAAATATTCACATCGCGATTCGTCCTATCTCTGGTGAGTAAACATTCACATCGCGATTCGTCCTATCTCTGGTGAGTAAATATTCACATCGCGATTCGTCCTATCTCTGGTGAGTAAATATTCACATCGCGATTCGTCCTATCTCTGGTGAGTAAACATTCACATCGCGACTCGTCCTATCTCTGGTGAGTAAATATTCACATCGCGATTCGTCCTATCTCTGGTGAGTAAATATTCACATCGCGATTCGTCCTATCTCTGGTGAGTAAACATTCACATCGCGACTCGTCCTATCTCTGGTGAGTAAATATTCACATCGCGACTCGTCCTATCTCTGGTGAATATTCACATCGTGTTTAGTCTAATCTCTGATGGGTGAATATTCACATCTTGTTTAACCTGATCTCCGATGTGTGAATATTCACATCGTGATTAGTCTAATCTCTGATGTGTGAATATTCACATCGTGATTCGTCTGATCTCTGATGTGTGAAAGCTCACATCGTGTTTAGTCTAATCTCTGATGTGTGAATATTCACATCGTGTTTAGTCTGACTTCTGATGTGAAAATGTTAATTTTTTGTCTATAGATTTCTTTTAATTGTAGACAAATATGTTAAACATTTTAATGCATACCTCATCTATAACCAAAGCTCAGGCAAAATTTGTTTATGAACTTCTTTTGTAGCACTTAACCGCCATCAAATTGCTTTAAATCCTAATAGCGATCGCTAGCAAACTGATAATATACCATATCAAGTTCATCTCTCTCTCTCTCTCTCTCTCTCTCTCTCTCTCTCTCTCTCTATCCTTCTCTCTCTCTCTCTCTCTCTCTCTCTCTCTCTCTCTCTCTCTCTCTCTCTCTCTCTCTCTCTCTCTCTCTCTCTCTCTCTCTCTCTCTCTCTCTCTCTCTCTCTCTCTCTATGTCTTGCATTCTTGACTCATTATATTGCATTCTTAAAAGATTCGAACTTTCGGACACTCCATACTGTCGTCTACTCCACTATCTGGTGTAATCTCATATGACATAACTAATGATTATCTATGACTGACGTGACTGGTTCCACCTCTGACTGGCGTGTCTGGCTCCATCTCTGACTGACCTGTCTGGTTCCATCTCTGACTGACCTGTCTGGTTCCACCTCTGACTGACCTCTCTGGTTCCATTTCTGACTGACGTGTCTGGTTCCATCTCTGACTGACCTGTCTGGTTCCATCTCTGACTGACCTCTCTGGTTCCATCTCTGACTGACCTGTCTGGTTCCATCTTTGACTGACCTGTCTGGTTCCACCTCTGACTGACCTCTCTGGTTCCATTTCTGACTGACGTGTCCGGTTCCATCTCTGACTGACCTGTCTGGTTCCACCTCTGACTGACCTCTCTGGTTCCATTCCTGACTGACGTGTCTGGTTCCACCTCTGACTCACCTGTCTGGTTTCGTGACTATTTCTCAAGCCGCCTAATTCCGCCCAGGAAAAGCTCAACCACCTTGAAGTCTTTGGCGTGTTTGCCTGGTTTAAACTACTAAAAAGCCCTTCATTAGCCCTCAACTTAAAGTCATTGGATCTAAATTTGTTGCAGCGCCCTCTCGATTTTAAACATTTCCCGTAACGACCCCCTTTCACCCCCACACCAAAACCACCTAACCATTTCAAATTATCGTAATAAAATTAATAGATTGTAAAATAATTCAGATATTGTAGTTTTCATTATTAAATTAATGTGTTAGAAAGAACAGCAACAAAAAATTGAAGAATTTTTTTTGTTAATGCACCAGCACAAATTGTGTGCCAACAAAATTCACCACAAAAACATCAGCTGCTGCCAATCAGTGTTCAAATAAAACCTGATTCTTTAAAAAAAAGAGGCATCAACAACTGGCAATGGAAGATCATAAATATATACAGGTCTTACCGCCCCCCCCCCGTTCTGCCACACGCACGCCTATGTGGGAGCGCACTCTACAGTATTAGACGACACTGTCTTGGTGTATAATTAAATATGCACATCCATAGATTATTGTCTAGGTTTGCTTGAAATTCATGTGTGGGTGAGCAGCAAGACCTTGATATTTAATTGAAGTTATCAACAACTTGATAGTAATACATTGTATCGATTTGTAGAGTTTTACAGTAACCGTCTCTGAGAACAATGAAACGAATGGCCTGGTCATCAGATACACGTGTGTCAAAATGGCACAGCTACACAACAAGGTGTCAAGTATACAAATGAGATGTGACACACAGGTGGCATTTGCAATCACACTTTCTCCACACATGTGTCACCCCGACTGCTAGGATTAAATTACACATGTGTTACCCCGACTGTAAATGGGGACATCATGATTCACATATGGCGTCCCTGGGTTTTCCTCTTATCACAATTTAAGACACATCAAGTGATTACTTCAATGCAAATAAGACAGTTATAAACACGTCATCAAACTCCTGAGTATTCACTGAATACTTAGTTAAGCCAAGTGAAAAAAAAACAACACACCATACAACCCACTTCATTTTAAGAAAAAAAATTGTCACGAATTTGATGACGTAAGTTTAAAACATCTTCTCTGGTGCTGCATTTAATTTATGTGACCATCGAATAGATTTATTCTTCGCCTGGAAAAAAATCCAAACTTTCTAAAGCCCTTTCTAAGAAAAATGTGCACACATTGCTTTGTGTTTAATGACATTTTTTAACATATCTTTTTTCACTTTAAAAAAAATTAATTAATTATACAATTAATTATTAATTATTAATTATATAAATCAATAGATTGATTTTGTATTCTTGACGGAGGCGTAATTTTTTTTCTCCAGGAGCGTGTCCTACAATCATCACCCGGGCAGAATGGGGCGCCAGGGCACCGAAAAGCGTGACCTATTTATCGAAACAGCCAGTTCAGTATGCGTTCATCCACCATTCGGCAGAACATGAGTGTTTCGACAGGTCATCCTGTGTTGCTGAGGTCAAGCTCTACCAGAACATGCACATGGATGACCGAGGTATTCTGGGAAACAGGAGGCTAGTTACTCATCACGTGGTAGAACCGCAGGGTCTTTTAATTGGTTTCATTTTTCAGCCGACGCACCTGCTCATTTCCTCTTGATCATAAAGATTGAATCAACTCGGCAGAACATTATGCAATATGGGCGAGGCGGTTGTCTTACAATTAAACATGATGGAAAAAAACTTGTAAACCAACTTCTTGATTGAAAAACTGCCACTGTCATTATCATTGTCACTGTCATTGTTGCTGTCATTTGTTCAATAGAAACGATAAGAAAAACTATTTTGTTCGATAAATATAAAAATTTAAAAAGTTGTGCTACACATCATGTATGTGCATTGATGGTGAAACTTTTTGTAACTTTTATTGTTACGTGTATTATTGTTGCTTGTTTGCTTATATAATTGGTACTTGTGGAGTTGTAAAATATGTCTCTTCTTCTTCTTCTTCTTCGTATGCCTTTTATCCCGTCTGAAACATAGGCCGTCCGCAAGAATTTTCTTTTCATCACGGTCCTGTGCTTTACTTTCCAGTTGCTTCCAAGTGTGTCCCATACTTTGCGTGTCTGACTCTAGCTCGCATCTCCATGGACTCTTTGGCCTTCATCAGTACTTGTATATTAATTGCTACTTGTATACGTATATACTTGGTACTTGTATAGCTGTTAAGTTAATTAATGAACACTATAACAATGCCCCCAGGCTGGGATGACATCGGTTACAGCTTCGTGATTGGTGGTGACGGTTCTGTGTACGAGGGGCGCGGCTGGGACCAGCTTGGTGCTCACACACTGGGCTACAATGACGTTGGCTTAGGTAAGGAAGGCTTGGGAGTGTCGTCATAGAACTAAAACCATTGATTTTATTTATATTTGACTTCTCTCATACCGTAGGCATAGACCAACTTACCCATTCCACCCGATAGCATCCCCCCCCCCTATTTTTTTGTTGTTGTCATTTTTGACGTCTACCAAACGCAAGCCCAGTCCACCATCTTAGCTAGCCCGCCGTCCGTTGTAATTAGTCTACTCTAGATACCAAAGCAACCGTTTAACCCAAGAAAAAAACATTACCACCATACGTGGACCTAGTGGCGGATGAAAAATTAATGAATATTAAGTAAAGATTTGACATTATCGTCTGAGAGTATGGCTATCAAAATAGTTTGTTTTGTTTCCGGTTTATTGAGGTCTTCACCTATATATATATATGTTTACATTTTTAGAAACAGTGATAGATTGCACCGCTGATTTGACGTCATCAAGCTATATTAATGGTTATTTAATTAGTGGATATCATTTATGACTAGCCGATATAGGGTCCATTCTTTAGTTCCATATTTATATTATACCATTAAAATGAATAAATACACTTAGAAAGTACATAAGATCTATCCATTCTCTTATGCATATCTAACTCTCCCTATTCATTTGAGGACTTGGAATTATATTAATCACAATGGTTATAATAAATTTGTTGTTGCCAATGAAACAAGAGAATCTCCTTTTTTTCTGAAAGGTTTTTGTTTGGCTGGAAACTTCATGGAGCACCTTCCCCCCACCGTCCAGATGGACTCGGCCAAAGCCATGATAGAATGTGGCGTGTCACTTGGGAAGATCTCATCTAATTACACCTTGAGGGGACATCGGGATATGAAAACAACGTTATGTCCGGGAGACAAGCTGTATGCCGAGATCAAAACTTGGCCACATTACTAAATTTCCAATAAAGAATTATTTCTGGAGTTTGTTTCGTTGTTTGAATGACCACCACAAAAAAGTATATATTTATATTTACATATGTTACCGGCAATGTGTTAAATCCGGCATTCTATAGAATGCCTGAAAATTGTAGGCAAAGTATGAAATGGTTTATATTTCACACATTCCCTAGGCATTCTATAAAATGCCTAAGAGCGACCGGGCAATGTATGGAATACCCCGCCATTCATGTTTGATTCTTTGCTTGGTGGTGACGTGGCGATCACGACACACGTGCTTCGTACTCCCACCAAAGACGCTACCCCTATTGTTTCAAGATGGCTGCCGAGATGTTGGAAGATCAGATCGTAGCTTCAGATCAAGAATCGCGGTATGTTTACATGCAACGGCGGTTCTACGATGAACTTTCTCAATGGCGAGCCAATACTGCTAAAAACTGAGTTTCTCTAACGGAAACTAGTTACTAAAAATTGGTGGATGATGTGAAAATGACTCGGATGACAACTCAGAAGAAACCACGAGACTATTGGCTGCTGCAACGCTATGATGTAATGGCGGTAGAGAACACAACTAAGTTGATCTATCCTGTTAAAGAAGGCGACAGTGCCATTCAGTTCTATGTCACGGATTCCGAATTATTTGACGTACTTCGCGAGGCTCATTTGGCCGTGGGACATGGAGGAAGGGACAGAATGTTGAAAGAACTTTCACAAAAGTATAAGAACATTACACGTAATGATTTTGAACTTTACCTCCATCTTTGTGAGCCGTGCCAGAAGAAACGAAAAGGTGTCACAAAGGGTGTTGTGGTGAAGCCTATGATTTTTTTTCTGAATTCAATTCCCGAGGTCAGGTCGATCTTATCGTTGTTCAGTCCCATCCTGAAAGGGAATATAAATTTATAATGGTGTACCAAGATCATCTCACAAAGTTTGTGGTTCTGAGGGCTCTAACATCAAAGAGGGCGGAAGAGGTAGCCTACACACTAGTGGAAAAATTTACGTTGCTTGGAGCTCCTTCAATCTACAATCCGATAATGGCGGGGAATTTGCCAACAATGTGGTGAACAGCCTAAGGGAGTAATGGGCCAAGTTGAAGATCGTCCATGGTAAACCGCGCCACTCACAAAGCCAGGGCAGTGTCGAAAGAGCTAATCAAGACATCGAAAACATGCTATGTGCTTGGATGCAAGATGAAAAAACTGAGGGATTACGATTCATCCAACTTTTGAAGAACAGGGCTCTTCATTTTGGGATTAACAGAACGCCTTATGATGCTCTGTTTGGCTGCAAAGCTAGAAAGGGTATCGCAACGTCTTCCCGACCACTTGACGTTTTGCAAGATACACAGACTGAGGAATAACTCGAAAAAATAATAGAAAGCGTAAAAACAACACAGCAGGAAGAAGCAAATCGTCAGATGCAAGATACAGAGCCTACTACACAGAACACTGAAGACAAGATACAGAGCCTGCTACACAGAACACTGAAGACAAGATACAGAGCCTGCTACACAGAACACTGAAGACAAGATACAGAGCCTGCTACACAGAACACTGAAGACAAGATACAGAGCCTGCTACACAGAACACTGAAGACAAGATACAGAGCCTGCTACACAGAACACTGAAGACAAGATACAGAGCCTGCTACACAGAACACTGAAGACAAGATACAGAGCCTACTACACAGAACACTGAAGACAAGATACAGAGCCTACCACACAGAACACTGAAGACAAGATACAGAGCCTACTACACAGAATACTGAAGACAAGATACAGAGCCTGCTACACAGAACACTGAAGACAAGATACAGAGCCTACTACACAGAATACTGAAGACAAGATACAGAGCCTACTACACAGAATACTGAAGACAAGATACAGAGCCTACTACACAGAATACTGAAGACAAGATACAGAGCCTACTACACAGAATACTGAAGACAAGATACAGAGCCTACTACACAGAATACTGAAGACAAGATACAGAGCCTACTACACAGAATACTGAAGACAAGATACAGAGCCTGCTACACAGAATACTGAAGACAAGATACAGAGCCTGCTACACAGAATACTGAAGACAAGATACAGAGCCTGCTACACAGAATACTGAAGACAAGATACAGAGCCTACTACACAGAATACTGAAGACAAGATACAGAGCCTGCTACACAGAATACTGAAGACAAGATACAGAGCCTACTACACAGAATACTGAAGACAAGATACAGAGCCTACTACACAGAATACTGAAGACAAGATACAGAGCCTACTACACAGAACACTGAAGACAAGATACAGAGCCTACTACACAGAATACTGAAGACAAGATACAGAGCCTACCACACAGAACACTGAAGACAAGATACAGAGCCTACTACACAGAACACTGAAGAGAATGCAAACAATAATGGAGGAGACTAAACTGGTTGTGACGTCATGGTTACCGAAGAGCCTTCCACTTCTGGTTTTTGTTGTGTCTTCTTAAAAGAGAGCAGCGGTGCCCATACATGCCGAAACTGTCACCACTGTTATGTTGCTAAAGACGATGGAGACGAGAAAATAGAAGGTTATGGTGTTGGTATTTTGTGCGGCTTGTGTTTCAAGATGAAGAGAGCTGTAGAGGCTAGAAAAGACTCTAAATCGAACATTGAAATCCAGGCCAAAAAAATCAAAATAAATGCTAAACAAAAATTTCCTCCTTCACCTTTAAGAGCCACTGTGCGAGTTCCTATTCCTGACGTTGACAAGGGACGGGGTGACTCGCGCAATCTGTTGGCTGTTGCTACGAAAGTGACAGAAGACGGCTTTTACCGACTTGAAACTGCACAAGGAATCTTGAAACAATTTTTATTGTATTTAAGATCACAGTTCGCTGTATGTCCAAAAGATTTATTGAGAGTTGACGACGTCCCTGCCCATGAAATCCCTATCCGATCTGCTGCTATCTCTCAGTCAACAGGAAGCAGTCAAGGATACGTGAAATATATGTGCAAGACCAGGTGCCAAAACATGAAATGTCTGTATTGAAAAAGAAAATTAAGTGCAATTCAAAATGACACTCCAGCCTTACTTGCTGCAACAAGTAGCTCAAAGCCACTTTCAATTTCCGGTTTCGTTAATATCCTTCGTTTTCAAATATGTTTTTCCAATAAAAAACATTTTCTTTACGCTCTTTTGAAACTTTGCCTGAAATATATTTTTCATAATATATAATACCTAAGCAATGTATAAAATGCCTAGGCAAAGTATGTAACTTAATCACGAAAATAAAATATATCATACTTTGCCTAAAACCGCCAGGCATTCTATACATTGCCTGCATTTCACACATTGCCGGTAACATGTATATATAAAAAAATTCGAGGCCAACAAATAAAATTTGATTTTTTAAAGAAATAAATGTGAAATCGTTACAAAAATGTAAAAAGTCAAATTCAAATTCAAATCGTATTTGCGTATATTTGTAATATGTTTGTTTGTTTAGTTACCACATATAGCTCAACAGGTTAAACATATTTATTTTAATTTGAAGACTTTCCTTTGCGCTCTTACGGAAGAGAAGGAATAAATCATGTCTTGAAAGCCGAGACTTGTTAATAGTCCACACTTTTAAGTGTATCCAGCCTGGTCCACTGTTGTCTCTATGATGTGTGTCTCCATTTTAAATGACAAAATGATCTTTCCTTTATTCAAAGTCGACTATTGAGCGAATATGGAACGTAACACAAACATTCGGAAAGACTTCTTGAAGATTATAGCAGGTGACATTGACGATCCTGAACTTCTTATGTAAAGTCACTGATATAATGACATAAATAGTTTGTTGACACATATTATATAATGACATAAATAGTTTTTAATGACACTGATTGAATGAATATCAACCAAAGATTTTTATTCGATCTGTTTTTCTTATCAAAATATTTTTAAAAAATATTTTAAACAGTTTTTAGTAGCCACCCGTTATGCAAAATTGTAATATTTGTAATAAAGCTATATATAAAAACTCTAGTTTTTGCAATTAAATGCTATAATCGGGTATCTATCGGAGACACTTCATTTGTTTAGAAGAGAAAATTTAGAGAAAGAAACGATGTTATAGGTCAATCAAAGTTGAAAACTTCTTTATAACGGGCCACAAGACTAGGCTGTACGTCTCTGTAATGGGCCACGAGACTACGCTTTACGTCTCTACGGGCCACAAGACTAGGCTGTACGTCTCTACGGGCCACGAGACTAGGCTGTACGTCTCTACGGGCTACGAGTCTATGCTGTAAGTCTCTACGGGCCACGAGACTAAGCTGTACGTCTCTACAACGGGCCACGAGACTTCGCTGTACGTCTCAACAACGGGCCACGAGACTTGGCTGGGTATGAAAGTTAAGTTCTTTTGGATGCCATTGAAACCTATTGAAACATGAGATTAGGGTCTGCAAGACTTTGGGATGTCATGGAAACCTAGAAAAACAAGGCTCATGATGTGCCAGAGGTTATACTTATACTGCTTTTAAGAAAAAAAAATTATTAAATAAAAAAAGAGATACCCTAGTAAATGGTGGATACTAAATCCTATTTATTTTGCCCGTTTGGTGTGACCATACAAAACTGTAAACTTTAATGTTCTTCAACATGGGTGCAATCTACAGCTAATTCCTGACCAAAGCTTTATGGTCCACAGTGACTTTTTCGAGTATCTTGCTGTTTTGAAAGTTAGATGGTCATTTCAGATTTAAGGAAATGAAGAGCGTCTGTTATTGGCATTGATCATCAACTGCATCCGGCTGTTGAGGCTGAACCTGCGTGTCTCTAAAATGGGGATTTTGTTGGTGGTGTTTTATTTATTTATTTATTTATTTAGGCATTTTTATATAGCGCTTATCATAAAGCTCTAAGCGCTTTACAGTTATTAAAACATGTAAACTAAGTAAATACAAATGAGACACTAGGATAGTAACTACTATTCTATAGAAACAATGAAAATGGCTATAAAA